AAGCACTGGAGGAAATCACATTCCAAGTGCCTCCTCCTGCTGTTTGTGCCAGCGGCGTATTCCGTTCCACGCACTTCGTTTCCATCGCCGTCCTTCAGACCGCGTTGAATGTCAGCCGCTCAGGGGCATCAGTTTGGTGTCTCAATTATAAGTTGAGAATGCTCCAGTCGGTATGGAGACCGTGGCATCAAATGCATGCAGCATGCTGACAGCACTTTGGTGAGCAGAGACGACGATGGCGGCGGAGAGTCAAGGACAAGCTATGAGGTCATATCGAGTGGAGTCAAATGATGTGTTACCCAAACTTGTGCTGTGGTTTTCTCGCCTGATTGCCGTGCAAGCAGCGTGGGTTCAGTTCCCACTTACGATCAGTTATGTTCGAAAGTAACGCGTCACTCCAACATATATATTTTTATCTTTTGACGGGAACAACTCATCTAATACGTGACTTTTCTCACTAAAGTTATCTGACTACAGTGACTTTGCAAAGTTACAATTTGTTACTCTATGGCAGAAGTGCCCATTACATCGATCTCGATCGCCCGGTAGCTCGCGGCCTGAACCCAAGTCCATCGCGAGGGGTGCAGAAGAAAAAAAAACCCATGCATTTGTGTGTCTCTGTGCATGTTAGTAATATATATATATATATATATATATAGCCCCCCCAGCCCCATTGCCCTGACTAAATAAGAGCCATAAGAACAAATAGTGCTATCCAGAAAAGGTTTTCCATTTTTCTCCTTGTGGGTCAACAATAATAAAAAAAAAATCCCCCCCCCCCCAGCCCCTACAAAAAAAGAAAAAATCATGATGGTGCAGTTTCCACAAATCTTCTTACGTTGTTCACTCATTTTTTTTTTAAGGTAGTGCAAACGGTGAGCCTACTGCAAAGATTCACAGCTGACCTCTCAGAAATCAAGATTTGTGCAGTGGTGCAGGACTAATCGACGAGGACAGAGCAAGGAGGGAGTTCTCAATCCAAGGGCAGTGGGTCGTTTCAGGCGGATCGCTGCTCACGTTTCCCCTTACCAGTATGCTGAGTGTTCATGTGAGCACACTGAGCCAGAGGTTCAACGTTCTAGAGCAGGGGTCAACGACCTTTTTGAAAATAAGAGCGTTCGCAATTCTGCCTGGTCAAATATTTATTATGCAACATGTGTTCCCCTCGAAAGACGAATGCCTGTCGTTGGTGACATTTCAAATGCTGTTTTCGTTCCAGACACATTTTTGCGTCTCTTGTTTATTGCACAGTGCACAATGAAATTGGGTTTACTGTCTCACATTGGTGCCAAAATCAAATGCTCAAAAGGTTAAATACACACAGTGGCACGTCTTAAATTTAGAATAATGAGTCAAAACGATGCAAATTAAACACAATGTAGGTACCGTATTTTCCGCACTATAAGGCGCTTCGGCATATAAGGCACACCTTCAATGAATGGCCGATTTTAAAACTGTTTTCATATATAGGGCACACCGCATTATAAGGCGCATAGACTAGAAGCTACAATTGTTGCTGCGGTTACGGTATGCATCCAGTAGATGGAGCTACTCTAAAGGGAATACAATACAAGACGGCTTTATTTATATCGAGCTTTCACAACCGTTTGCAGTTGTAACAAAGCACTTTACAGAACATTTAAAATACTAAGTCCAAGAAATCAGAATATCGATCCATTTACGAGGCGCATCGGATCATAAGGCGCACTGTCGGCTTTTGAGAAAATTGAAATCTTTTAGGTGCACCTTATCCTGCGGAAAATACGGTACATTAGATTTATATATTCTCTTATCGTGATCACTGATGTGTTAATCGTTGCAGCCACGTATCCAGTAGGGGGGTGCCCTCTTGAGACAGCGGGTGCTGCAGAGGTCGTTCAAAGGACGGGAGAGGTTGACCATGGATTTTCTGTTCACGGTTCATGACACTTCTTAGTTCCTTCCTGTGTGCCACGGCGCAGCTGGCAGTGCTTCAGCGCGCTCTCGATGGAGCCGGTCAGCAGCTGAGGGTGCTCAGAAAGTCAAGACGCTGAGTTGTTCAAGTTGAGTCCAGGTGCGCGTCCGGAAACCTGCGGTCAGAGAGACCAATCAGGGCTCATTTGTTTTCTGCGTGATACACAGCATCAGTCAGACGATTCTGGTTTGCCTTTCTGGTTGTTTTTGCCGCACGGCGACATCACTTATGCAGAACATACTTTCGGAAAACTCAATCATGCTTTGATGTATGCTGTGTCTTTGTTTGCAACCCGGTGTGTAATTATCAACTTGACACACCCCCAAACATTTCTGTTCCGTCTGTCAGAGGTACCCTGTCACAGTTTCGGTTGTCAGATATGTGAAAGTATGTCAAGAGTGCAGTGCGGTGAATAGCCAATCTGCAGACTGACAGCTCGGCGAAAACTCCCCTCGCTTACTCTCCAGCCAAACTCTCCCTCCTCGATATGCATCCTCCCAAAGGACAATGGTGCCGATAAGTGAGGCGTATCTCTCGAACAGCTCTGTCTAATTAAGTACGCAACTGTTGTTTATCACCTCCCATTCCAAAAGAGGACGCGTTGTGCCAGAGAGGGCTTGCAGTCAGGCACAGCATGCTGATGAGGTTTTTAGTTCTGATGTGTGGAAGGATAGCAGGATCTTTTCATTCGTCTGAGACGTTTGATGTCTTTGTACAATGCTCCAACGGAGACTCCTCTGTTCAAAACAATCAGGCCCAAACCGCATCAAAATGTAATGCTACTTGTTCTTTTCAAGTTTGAAGCATGGGAAGAGTGAGGAGAAACACAGGCTTTCTTTCATCCGTCTGTGTGGACGTTAATGTACCGGTATACCACTCAGAGCACCGGTAAATTGTTAAGGGCTTGAATGGAGCCCTTCTTAAACGGTGGGGCGCCCCCCCCCCCCCCCGGGGGTTTTTTTTTTTTTTTTTTTTTTCCTTCGCTGTATTAGAATAAATTGTAATTGCATGTGGCAGTGGTGCTCCAATTTTCAGAGTTAGCTCAAAGGGAGGGTTTTCCCCTCCCCCCCCCTTTTTTTTTTAATGCACCAAACACACACACACACACACACAGCACAGTGCAGTATATATGAAACCCCGTAGAGACACCATGGAAAAATATTTAACACTGATAAAAAAAAGTGAGACTAACAAATAAGGTTCATTTTGTTGTTCTTTGTTAGTTGCTCAATATTTCTTTTTTCTTTACTTTTAATCAGGACACAGTGTTCTACAGACATGTACTTATAACAACCTGCTGCGCCGAAAAAAATGTTGTGCTACATTTACTCAGTTTTGTTTTGTCAAATGGTTACACAAAATAAAATTATCTGAATCGAAATGTATTTATTTTTTCAGTACACTATACACCTACTTTTACAATTGATCTGGATACAGATGCTTTTATTATGCGCAATCACTTGATGAAATACAAATTAGTAAATTCCACATCTTTTTTTTGTGCTACTACTCAAAACTATAAAATATTGCTGTGCTCATTGGCAACGGCTGGGAATAATATTTTTAAATGCACTAATTGCAAAACCATGTTGTTGAGTGTTGTGTCTTATTTTATTTATTCGTTACGAGTCTATTAATTGAAATCAAAAGGGATTATATGTCTGCTCTGGAAGAAATATCAAACGTGGCTGTGTGTGTGTGTGTGTGTGCGTGTGTGTGTGTGTGTGTGTGTGTGTGTGTGTGTGTGATACTCTGCCAGCTTCAATTATCACACTGCATAATTTTTGAGTGAGATTAATTTCAGTGTAAATAGAAATAAAGAGGGTGACAAAGAGAGGTCAAAGAAGAAGGGGAATGCAAATTGCCGGGGCAAATCCCTTCACTGTGCATCAAGAACACGAGCAAAACAAATTGTGAAACGTTAATAATTGAGACAACGGCAAAAAAAAAAAAAAAAAAAAAAAACAGCCAGCAAATTAGGCCTTTATAGCAAGGTAATGGTCTACAAATGTGTTTATCATACCTGTTTAGCAAAGTGATGCAACAGTGTTTGGAAGCATCAAACAGATGAAAGCAAACGAACTGATAAACTGCACACCATCCTGCCCACAGACACTCACATTGACACAAAGAGGGTGGTGCCATCACACACAGACACACAAGTCCCATCATGTCTTATTTTTAGCTGTTCTCCAGTCCTGACCTACATCACTGCCTGAATAAAGCGGCAGAGATGTAAGAATGAGCAGAGGGTGATGGGAAGAAACAGACACACCATGCTGAGTTTTAAAAAAAACATCCTTCCTGTGTGAAATGACAGTTCCATTTCTGTCAGCGGCCCCCAAAGAGGCGAGCACGCATTGGACACGGTAAAATAGCTAGCGTGCAATAGCAAAAACCGGGAAGCCGCGTATGACCGAAAGGTGAACTAAACCCAAAGATTTAGGTGATAAAATCCAGAAAACAGGAGACCTGTGATGTTTGCAATGCGAGCCCGAAGGCCCTTGGACGATCGTTTCGGTTGTCTCCAGAGGACGGGAGAATGTCAACATTTCTGCCCACCGAGATGGCTGAAAATGGACGGATTAATCTATTTCGATATTATATCGCCGCAATAAATAATGACAAGACCATCTTTAGACTAGTGCGGATAGATAAAATCTATTTTTTGCAAGAAACATTTTTGACTTGAGTTCCCCTTTACTGTGCAACCTACATGGCCCAAGTGTAATTTTTTTGTTTGTTTTGTTATTATTGCCAAGACTGTTAAAAAAAAAAAACAACACTTGCATGATGTCATCAATGTTTGTGTGTTTAACTCATAATTATGGACAAGTATAAGACAATTAACCACCTGCAGTAGAAAACGGGGCTTGAGCTTGATGATTGAAAGCGTGTTCGCACAAGGAGAGGCTGGGGACGCGGGACTTAACTGTCGTGCGAAAGCTGCTCAATGAGCTGTTCTGTCAGCTCAATCAATTGTGCTCATCGGCTGAGTGAGTAGTTTTCATCGCTTTTAATCGACTCTATTTGCTTTTGTTCTCAGATATCGATGAGTGTGCAACGCAAATGCAATACTGCCAGTCCAACACGGTGTGCGTCAACCTTCCCGGCAGTCATCGCTGCGACTGTTTGCCAGGCTTCACCCGAGTGGATGAATATTCCTGCACCGGTAGGTCTGTTTGGTGATACTCACATTTTAAGAACCAGGATGACCTCACTCTTATATGAATGGATATTGATTGTGCGAGTTAAGTTGCGGCCTCGTTCCTGCAGATTCAATGTTTTGACTCTTTCCCGAAATTCAGTCTGATCAGGCGCAGTTGTGCACTTTATAGGAGATTGACTCGTCACAGACAGGGATGAGTATTGTTATGACGATACGATAACTCTTAACAAGACTGCTTGTCGATCCGCTACTTTAGCGGTATTATTATCGGGTCTTTTTTTTTTTTGCTTCGAAAAGAACAATACCAAATCTTAAAATGAACCCTTCCTTATTTTTTTTACATATACAGTATATAGCTAGCTGGCTAGCTAGCCAAATAGATAGATACTTTCTACAAAAATAACAATTTACAGAAAAACAAATGTTTTGAACAAATCATTATTATACAATGCAACATTAAAAAAAGTAAACTTTGTGTAGAGCAGCAAAGTTGGAACAAGCAATGTGGCTGCGAAAAATACGTCTGTGAGTTGAGATGCAAATGTTCTATTTGTCTGTTCAAAACCTATGTTTCCTCCAGACATTTTAATGATTGATTGCACTTGTGGCAACAACATGTGCATTGTCACCATCAACCAGACGTGGACAGTTTACACATTTTTGCTGGGCCGTCATTTGTCATCTGTCAGTGTGGCCTGGGCACTCGACCGCCATCGCCAGTCCGTCAATTTTTCAAGACGAGGCACTTGAAGTACTCTTGGCAGTTGTGTGCTGACTTGCATTTCACACAAGGTCGAATGCGATCGTTGGTGAAGACAATCGCCCACGTCTACTGTAAATGAGAACTTGAATTTCAAAAAGAAGCCAAATTCAGATTCAACATGCCATTTTTGATTGCTAGCCATGTTTATAATAATACCACACCATAAATGTGGGATTTTTTTTTTCCTTCCACCCACTACATACTGTGTTTTGTGTCCGTAAAAAGAAAAGCATGCCTACCACTTCCTCACCACTGCTCTATAGCTTCCCCACCTGTGTGCTAATTGCCCGAGGGTGGTGCAACAGCAGGTCGGAGAAGGAGCGAGCTCCGAATAGTGGCCAGAGGAAGTGCAGGTCAACCATCAGCTGCATTCACAAAGGCGAGGGACAGACTGCAGTGCAATTCTGACGTAGTGCAGAAAATTGGTGGCTTGCCAGAATCATATCGTATCATGGCTCGGCAAATTTGATGATGAATTATTTGTGATCTGAAATTAAAGCCTGCAGAAAAATGAAAGGAATTGATTTTGATGAATGCAGCCATTAAAGCTGCCTGAGCCCGTATGGTTTCCTAAATAGGAGCAGTGATTGCAGTCATTCAGCTTGTCCACACTTACTGTGGAGACGAAAAATGTAATGTCTCCTCAGTGGACAATGATCAACAAATAGTGTATTTTTGCTTTGTCCTCATGATTGTCAAACCATGGATTAATCTAGAGCATGGGCACGTAGGTAGGCTACTGTGTCAGATTAAAGCAGGTTGTTTGTGCGCTGTTCTTTATCACTGCTTCCTTTTTTCCCCTTTCTCGCTCTCTTTCTCTTCATGTACTTTAATTAGCTCAGTCTTGGCAGGCACACAGAGACAAGGTATCCATGGATAATCAATCTATTTTACGGCTTGTAAACTGTCCTGAGCTGCTGATTCGTAGCAGCAGAAACACTCAACATGTGCTCCTAAAGATAAATCCTGGATGCATGTGCTGAAGGCTTTCGCATTTGTTAGGTGGAACTAAAAATGACTGATAGTACCCTTAATGCTCCTGTAATTGGTACATGTACTCAGTTCTCTCCATTCCCCGCCAAAAGCATTGGAACAGTACGTGTGTGTGACACGCAAGATCAATATTGCCGCTTGAATTTTAATATTTTTACACATATCGATATATGTCTATATATATCTATATCTATCTATCTATCTATCTATCTATCTATCTATCTATCTATCTATCTATCTATATACATATATATGTAAATTGGAATATGAGATTATTTATAATCTGATATGAGCGAAAGTGTTTAACCAGACTAAAAACAGATGCCTTATATATATATATATATATATATATATATATATATAGTATGTGTAGTCTTTGTGTGTATGTGTGTATTTGCCAGTGCTTCATATGTTTTATTACCCCCTCTGTTAAGAAATAATTTCCCTTGATATTGAAAAAGAAAATGCACAGTTTGTTCCTCTGAGGTATAAAATGCCATTGGACATTATCTCTTGCTATTTCTCTTTTTTATCATCTGCCTTGCTGAGGGCCTTGTCCTTTGTGCTGACAGTGCCCAGTAAACAATGGGAAGCTGCAGTAATTGTGGTTCCACTTGATTTCACCTCTATGGAAGCAGGCAAGCAGCTCAAGTGAAACAAGGATTGGACGGAGAAATCAACAGTGTCAGGTGGTGTGAGGTTCTACACGTTGGTTGTCAAAATGCCACCAATCTGAGAGTACACACACTTATATAGTTTACAGTTCATTGTGATTTTATCTTATGTCACCAAATTTGGACTTGGGACAGCGCACGTCGATGTGTAGTGCGCATGGGAGGATTTCTTTCTTTCTGTGTTTTCCGAGACGGGTGCAGGTAGAAGGGGGCAGGTGCGCCGTTGTGGGTGGGAACACAGCTAACTTGTTTGCCATCCAATGGAAGCGGCTACTCTCATTCTCTTTAAAATTCAGCACAGAGACAGCATTCTGTCTTCTTTAAAATACACTCTTATCTTGAATGACTCGGGGTAATAAACGTTTGTTCTCTTCATTCTGTCCATTAACTGTTCCACAAGTATCGAATAAAAGCCATCACTACTGCTGACGGCTCTTATGATATGCTGATTATGATAGTTTGGCAACATTTAAGGCATCCTATTTTGTTGTTGTTGTTGGTTTTTTTTCGTTTTGTTTTGTTTTTGTTTTTTTTTAAACAGAGAATTTCAATTTGGCTGAGTTTTTTCCGTGTTGCGGTTGAAGTTCCATTGTACTGCATTGCTACACCTTCTGGCATTCTGGAGTGAAGGTCGTATGTATTTAAATACACTCCATCATTGTTCAAGACATTGTCTGTCCACTTTCATTGTTATACAGTGTCGCTGGCTCATCACTGTGATATTTGACCTACATTGTGCAATTTAAAACTTTTTTTTTTTTTTTTGACCAGCAGGACACAAGACACCATTCCCTGTTTAGAATATCTCCGTATTAAGAGTTACGCTGAACATCTCACGATATTTCAGTCAGCCATTTACTCTAAGTGATTACTTATTGATACAAATAAAGTAAAATCGATCTTTCATCTTTCATTTGGCGATGAAAATTGGATTGTGTATGCAATATGCAGTACGGGCCAATTGGCAAAAGGAGGGATAATGAATGGTGTTGACGCTCAGTTTTATGACTCGGTGAAGGCAGAACACAAGTGATTTCCCCTGCGGAGGGTCATTATGATCCCTGACTTCAATGCGTTGGTGGATAATAGCTATGTGCCATCTGTGATGGTGAAAAATGTCCAGCTCCCACATTGTACTGCATCATATGATCGTCCAGATGATGAGTCAAAAAATGTACACATACAACTCAGAAAACTGGTGTTTTTCTTCCATTGCTGCATGATGGCATTTTCAAACTGTACGCTCATGAGTTGACGAATAAAGTCGCATTGGACGGCTTTCTGAAAAATGAACGACGAGAACGACTAAGAAAAGTATTGTATACTGTTCATAATATTTGAACATGAATGTTGTGTTTATGGACGCCACATATGATGACTGAAATGTTTATTTCATAGTTCAATATTTGAGGTGCTTTATCATTGATGCGCTTTATCGTTGAACTGCGAGGTGTGCTCGAGACGACACGTCACGACATCACCATGTCTGTTGTAGTACCAAGACTGGCCTGTGAGAGGCAGCATGGTGCCACAGAGCATCGGACTGATGGCAAACATGTTCTGTTGCACAGAATACGATACAGATTAGAGAATAGAATAATAGTTATGACATTTTAGACATGACTCTGAGGTTGCGGGCAACCGGGCTCAAATTAGTCCCGAGAACGTGCGCGCACCTTACCTCGGCAGGATACAGAAAAAATGAAATGGACTGATTGACATGAAATGATTTCCCTAAAACGCCCAAATTAGCATTGTCATTTTCTACAGAGTAAAACTGTTTTTTCTCTGTCTATTAATTTCTCCCCCCCTCCCCCCCTCCCCAAGATCGATTTCAATCCACTGCCTGTTTGGTTTTGCTTCTGTGCCATTACATTGATTTCACTTGGTAAACTTAAGTGTGTTTGCTTTTTCTTGGATAAGCATTTAATTCGACAGCCTGTAGCCTACAGTGCGCATATGTTACACTCTGTTGCCTTTTGCGCTAGTCATGTATCTATCCTCTCTCACCTTGTCTACACCGGGCTGATCAATAGTCCAATTGTTTCCTTAACGGGGAGTTCATATGCAATATGCTCAGGTTTGGCAATAGCGTCTGATCAAAGGGAGCCGCCATTAATTTTGTGCATGCCTGGCGACATATAGTGTTTGACATTCCGATGTTGAAAGGCCACAGTCCCCCGCAGACACATTGGTTTAATGAAAATTTAATCAAATCCAATTCCAATTACGCATATAATGAATGTTGAGCTCAGGTGTGACGAGCTTGGTCACCTTGGCAACCCTCCCTGTATACGTTAAGCTTTTCAAAGATGGAGGTCACGTTGTAAGGCTGGCAAGGGAGCAGCCATTTTAATAAGCCCATCAAACATGGTTCGGGCAGGAGTCACATAAGTTTTCATCAATTTATAATTGTCTCTGAAGAGGAGAGTGTTTATATTTAGCTCCCTCATAAAGGTTTGATGCAAGAATTCCTTTCCACTTACTAGAAGGCAGTATAACCGTCCACTGTGATTTATGTCTCCGTGTTACGCCGCTGTGCGGAAAGCTTCATGTTGTGCTCTCGAGAGATG